CTCTGGTTTCACTCCAAAGGCACGTACAAGTGTGATGAGGATCATACGTGGGTGAGCCCTGAAGCTGGCAAGGAGATGCCCATCTGTGAGCCAGGTGAGAGCAGAGCAGCAGGGGCTGCGAGGAGCAGGGCAGGTGGGGGGCTGTGAGCAGTCTTTCTGGGCAGCTGAAGGGCTGCAGGGGCTGCTTGCAACCCCCATCTTCCATGGTGCTCCCTGGGGCTGCTGTGGGCCATGAGGCATCCGGCGCCTGCCAGTCTCAGGGTGCTCACCAGGGCCCTGCTCTGCCCTGTGCAGTGTGTGGGAAGCCGAAGAACCCCCCAAGGCAGATGCAGCGCATCATCGGGGGCCTGCTGGCTAGGAAGGGCAGCTTCCCTTGGCAGCCCCCGCCACAACCTCACCGTGGGGGCTACGCTCATTGGTGATCAGTGGCTGCTGACCACGGGCAGGAACGTCTACCTGAACCACACTGAGAACACCAAGCCAGAGGAGATTGCCCCTACGCTGCAGCTCTTCCTGGGCAGTCAGGAGTCTGCCTTGGGCATTGAGCGTGTGGTGCTGCACCCTAGCTACCCGGAGGCTGTGGATCTGGCCCTGCTGAAGCTCAAGCAAAAGGTGCTCCTCGGAGAGGAGGTCATGCCTATCTGCCTGCCCCAGAAGGACTATGTGCGCCCGGGGCGGGTGGGTTACATCTCGGGCTGGGGCCGTGGTGCCACCTTTGCCTTTCCCGATATGCTGAAGTATGTGATGCTGCCGGTGGCAGAGGGTGAGATGTGCAGGCAGTACTATGAGGCGCGGAATGAGTCCTACTGGGTCCAGCCCATCCTTAGCAACGACACCTTCTGCGTGGGCATGAGCGAGCTGCGGGAGGATACGTGCTATGGGGATGCCGGCGGTGCCTTCGCCGTGCAGGACCCCGATGATGACACCTGGTACGCGGCTGGCATCCTCAGCTACGACAAAACCTGTACGGCCTCCAAGTATGGCGTATATGTGGACGTGCAGCGTGTCCTGGCCTGGGTCAAGGAGATGGTGGCGGCTGGCTGAGGCG